ACCCCTGCCGCTAAGCCCCGCCCCTTGGATTCTTCTTCTTTCGTGTACCATATCAGATGGCCAACTCTGTATTATTTAGCCATTCCCTTTCAGGTCCAACGTCAAAGAGATCAGTTTCTGAAGATGGTTTAAAAGGGGACAGGTGTTAATTATATGATCGACAGTCTGTTCTGGCTCACTGCACCGCATTCGCATGCGGAACAGTCTGTCAAGCCCCACCTCTTCATTGATGACTTAAAAGCGATCGACTCCTGTGCGTAAACGAGTCGATGAAGTCCACTGTTGACGTGGTAGTTCTTTTCCAGCAACGCCTCATCCTGGGTCCCATATATACTGGTAGATGCGAGAGGGCCCAGACAGCTCCGGCGGCAGAGAAGACGACCAGGGCTTGCGTAGACATCCGAAGAGTTTTGGAGAGACAGTGTTCTTTCTATCACATATTATTGCACTGTCAAGTTAGGCCTGAGCCTAGTACTAGTCTTATTATTATTATGTATGCTTCATCGTCATCCGCTACACGTACATCAGTAGCGCCCCCCCCCCCACCCCCCATACAGTACAGACGTTTGTTGGGCAACAACGTGATTGAACCTTCCTTCGCAGGTGTTCATGTATTGGCATATCGTTAGCTAACCAGTTGTGTGTATTTCTTTTTGAAAATGAGTACGGCGGCGTTCCCCTCTTGGAAAGAGGGAACTTCGAAATAATTGTCTCCATATCTTCGCTAATTAAATTAATCATCGAGTAATTTAGCTTTTAACATATGAATTTAGCTAGCGCTTAAAATGTACAATAATCATTTCACTACTTGACAAACTCCGAACTTTATTCATTTGGCCTACATAATAGTTTCAACATCACTGGCGCATGGTAACAACCAACTGATGCAGACCATTTCCGGTTTACATTACTCTCCATAACACAGCACCCCCAATCGTCACCTCTGGGTGATGTTTAAAATAGTATCCGGTCTAGGAGTACTCCAAGATACTTCGGTGCCTCTTGAAACTGCCGGCGCTTTTTGCCAACAGAGGTCTAATTAAATTCCCTTTTTGCTTCTCTGTTATAAAGGTGGTATGTCGCTGAAACTGTTTTTGCAATGCTGAGCCGGAGGCGATTTTTTCCCGTACGAAACATTTACATGAAACTTCATTCGGGCCATTTCGGATTGACAAGAGCAGACACTTCGCAATGTCGTGACGCTCGAATTTTACTATTATTCCTCTTTCTATGTTTACCTACGGTAGGCCCCTATGGTATCTTACGAATTTATGGGATGTAGGCGTGTAACTGTGACCTTCTTGGATGTTATTAAATGTTAGTATAATATCTACAACAACAACAGCTAGTACCCCCTTTTATAAAGGGTAGAATGGTAAAGTAATACCCAAAGGCTAGAGAGAAAGAGGATAAACTAGCCTACTACAGGCTGACTTAAGTCCTATCCTACCTAGGCAGCACTTTAATAGGCTTAGGTCCATAGGGTCATATAGGCTGACAACAACAGTCACCCTTCGCATGACGTTGATTGAAATTTTGAAAAAAACTGA